CCCCTCCGCGCCCTGACCACCTCCACCACGCCCTCACTACGGCCCGGCAGCCGCGCCGCCCCCCCCCCCCCCGCCACGCCCCCGCGCGCCGACCGCGGCCCCCCACCATGCAGAATGTTACGCGGGCTCAGTTCTCGGTACCCCTCACGCGACAATTTCTCGCCCATAACTGACCGATACCCTCCACCACGCTCCCACCGCGCCCCCACCGCGGCCCCCCATCCAGAACCCCCCGCGAGCTCAGGTCTTGGACCCCCCCACGCGACAATTTCTCGCCCCTAACTGACCGATGCCCCCACCACGCCCCCACCATGCTTCCAGCACGGCCCGGCGCCCGCGCGGCCAGGCCACACCCCTCCTCGCGCCCTCGCCACGCAAGCTCAGCTCTTGGGGCCCCCCACGCGAAGAATTCTCGCCCAGGACTGACCGATGCCCCCCCCCACGCCCCCCCCCCCACCATCCAGAATCCCACGCGAGCTCAGTTCTTGGGCCCCCCACGCGACAATTTCTCGCCCAGGACTGACCGATGCCCCCCACCACGCCCCCACCGCGCCCCCACCACGGCCCCGGCGCCCGCACCGCCACCCCCCCCGGCCCCTCACCCACCGCGGCCCCCACCATCCAGAACCCCTCGCGAGCTCACTTCTTGGGCCCCCCCACGCGACAATTTCTCGCCCATAACTGACTGACCCCCCACCACCACCACGCCCCCGCCCCCCCCCCACCACCATCCAGAATCCCACGCGAGCTCAGTTCTTGGGACCCCCCCACGCGACAATTACTCGCTCATAACTGACCGATGCCCCCCACCACGCAACCACCATGCCCCCTCCGCGCCCCTACCGCGGACCCCCACCATCCAGAATCCCACGCGAGTTCCGTTCTCGGGGCCCCCCCCACGACAATTTCACGACAAACCCTCGCCCATAACTGACCGATGCCCCCCACCGCGCCCCCCCCGCGCTCCCGCCGCGGCCCGGCAACAGCACCGCCCCCCCCTCGCGCCCCCCCCCGCGTTCCCACCGCGGCCCCCCACTATCCAGAATCCCAAGCGAGCTCAATTCTTGGAACCCCTCACACGACAATTTCTCGCACATAACTACCGATGCCTCCCACCACGCCCTCGCCACGCCCCCGCCGCGGCCCGGCGCCCGCCACCCCCCCCGCGCCCCACCGCGGCCCCAACATCCATAATCCCACGCAAGCTCAATTCTCGGGTCCCCCCACGCGACACTTTCTCGCCCCTAACTGACCGATGCCCGCCACCACGCCCCCCCCGCGCCCCCGCCACGGCCCGGCGCCCGCGCCGCCCCCCCCCCCCCGCGCCCTCACCGCGCCCCCACCGCGGCCCCCCACCATCTAGAATCCCATGCGAGCTCAGCTTGGGGCCCCCCACACAACAATTTTTCGCCCATAACCGACCGCCCTCCCCCCGCCCACCACGGCCCCACCACGCCCCTACCACGGCCCGGCACCCGCGCCGCACCGCTCCCCCCTCCGCGCCCTTACCGCGCCCCCACCGCGGCCCCCCACCATCCAGCACCCCACGCGAGCTCAGTTTCTGGGACCCCTCACACGACAAACTCTTGCCCATAACTGACCGATACCCCCACCAAGCCCCCGCCGCGCCCCCGCCACGGCCCGGCACACGCGCCGCCAACCCCCTCCCCGCGCCCTTACCATGCTCCCACCGCGGTCCCCACCATCCAGAATCCCACGCGAGCTCCGTTGTTGGAGCCCCCAACCCGACAATTTCTCGCCCGATGCTGACCGAGACCCCCCACCACGCCCCCACTACGGCCCGGCGCCCGCACCGCCAACCCCCCCTCGCTCCCTCGCCGCGCCCGCTCAGCTCTTGGGCCCCCCCCACGCGACAATTTCTCGCCCACAACTGAACGATGCCCCCCACCACGCCCCCCCCGCGCCCCCGCCGCGGCCCGGCGCCCCCACCTGCACCCCACTCCCCTGCGCCCTCATCGCGCCCCCACCACGGCCCCCCACCATCCCTACTCCCACGCGAGCTCAGTTCTTGGGACCCCCCCTCACGACGCATCCTCGCCTATACCTGACCGATATCTCTCACCGCGCCCCCGCCGCGGCTTCACAATGCCCCCGCCGCGGCCCCCCACCATCCCCAATCCCGCGGGAGCTCTATTCTGGGCCCCGCCCCCCGCGCGACAATGTCTCGCTCGGAACTGGCCGATGTCCCTCGCCGCGCCCTCACCGCGGCATGGCACCCGCGCCGCCGCCCCCCCCCCTGCGCCCTCACCACGCCCACTCAGTCCTTAAGGCCCCCCACGCAACAATTTCTCGCCCATAACTGACCTATGCCCTCCACCACGCTTCCGCCGCGCCCCCGCCGCGGCCCAGCCCCCCCCCTCGCTCCGCGCCCTCGCCGCGCTCCCACCGCGGCCCAGCGCCCCCGCCCCCGCCCCCCCTTGCCGATGCTCCCCACCACGCCCCCGCGCGCTCCACCACGGCCCGGCGCCCGCACCGCCCCCCGCCCCGCGCCCTCGCCACGCCCACTCAGTCCTCGGGACCACCCGCGCGACAATTTCTCGCCCATAACTGACCGACTCCCTCCGAGACGGCCCACGATAGCTCCACGACGGCCAACGGCTCCCAAATCTACGCCCCGGAGGCCACAATCCCTTGCGAAAAAACGATAGACTCGCGCTCCCTCCAGGGCCAATATGCCTCCAGGACGGCCCCAAGACGGCCAAAAAGGCTACTCCAGAGAGCCCCCAAACAGCCCAAGAAGGCTCCATGACGGCCCTCCCCCCCAAAACAACCACGACTGCGCCGCTAAAGCCGCGCCCCTTCGTTCAAAACGATAGATCCGCGCCCTCATAGCAAAGACGTCTCCAAGACGGCCTCCGATTTCTGCTAGACGGCCCCAGCAAAGCCCAAGAGCCAGCAACACACCGCGGCCCCACCACCCACGCACCACGGCTCGGCACCCTCACCCTTGCCCTATGCGACCTCAGTTCTTCGGACCCCCCCACGCGACAATTTCCTTTACAAAAATGACGGATACCTCCCACCACGCCCCCACCAAGGAGCTCAGTTCATGGGGCCCTCCACGCGACAATTTCTGGACCAAGCCTTAGCGATGCCCCCCGCCACGCCCCCGACGCGGCCCCGCCGCGCACCCGCCAGGGCCCGGCACCCCCACCGCGGCTCCACCACGGCCGCCACCACGGCCCGGCATCCCAGCATCCCCCTTCCCACGCCGCGCGAGCTCAGTTCTTGTGCCCCCCCTTATGGTTCTTCGTCACCGACTGCCAACTCTTCTCGGCGACCTCCTCCCTCCTGCGCTCTTCATGCGCGAAGCGCTTGTTGCGCCTTTGCTTCCCATTTGACTTTCTCGTTGTCCGCTCGGCCAACCAGCGGCTGAACTCTACTTTCGGTTGAGCGCCCTTGCAGGCTATACATTTCCAATAGCCGCGCTGCACCCTTGCCCCCTGGACGCAACGCTGGCGCTTGCGGTCGCGATCAGCCGCGTCGGCCCACACGCGGTCCGAAAGCGCCTCGCGCCCCTGCTCCGCGTCGCACGCCGCGCGAACCTTCAGGCCCCGACCTGCTGCGTCCACGCAGCGCTTGCACTTGCCGTCGCGATCAGCCACGTGGGCCCGCGCGCGGTCCGAAAACGCCTCACGCCCCTGCTCCGCGTTGCACGCCGCGCAAACCTTCGGGCGTCCACCTGCAGCGTCAACGCAACGCTTGCACTTGCGGTCTCGATCAGCCACGTTGGGCCACGTGCGGTCCGAAAGCGCCTCCCGCCGCTGCTCCACGCCGCACGCAGCGCACGCTTTCACATCTTCCCTCGCCGCCGTGCGCCGCTTCGCGGCTGCAGCGTCGACGCACTTGGAGCACGAAATCGACGCTTTGGCCGCGTGGTCGAGCTGATGCGCAGAAAACTCGCGCGCACTTTTGGACGCGCCACATGTTGAACAAACTACCTCTCTTGCTGCCTGGGCATGCTTCCTGCCCTCCTCTCTTGCAGCCTCCCTGCGCGTCGTGCGTAACCCTGAACCCGCGAGAATAAACCCCCAGGGATAATAACATTTGGTGTTTTCGGGGAGATAATAAAAGTTGTCCGCCAGAGCCAGCATGAAGAGATATCAAGAAGAGAAAGCCACATATATCTTGAGGGTTGTCCCTGTTGAGACATCCTCAACGAATTGCTTGTTTCGCTTGAGACATCCTCGAAATATTTCTGTTTCGCTTGAGACATCTTCAAAGCATTGCATATTTCGCTTGAGACATCCTTGAGGGAAGAGGAGGAGAAAGAGCAAGAGGAGGAGAGGGGAAGGAGATAACAAACATCCAAAGTTTAAAACCTACCAGATTTAATTTGCACGCGCTTGATGAACATTAAAATGTTCATCTGCTCGCGTAGCTCACGTGCCTCGTTTTCCCCGGATAATCAACCCCATCGATAAACAAGTTCAGGGCGCCAGGGGGAGGAGGAGGAGAAAGAGATAGAGAGACATAGGGAGAGGGAGAAAGAGAGAGAGAGAGAGAGAGAGAGAGAGAGAGAGAGAGAGAGAGAGAGAGAGATAGAGAGAGAGAGAGAGAGAGAGAGAGAGAGAGAGAGAGAGAGAGAGAGAGGCCAGGAAGGAGAAATATATAGAAGGACAGAAAGAGACAGAGAGAGAGAGATAGAGAAAGAGAGAGAGAGAGAGAGAGAGAGAGAGAGAGAGAGAGAAAAATAAAGAAAGAGAGACAGAAATAACTACACAGAGACAGAAAGACATTGGTTTCGCTTGAGACATCCTGAAACAACGTGTTCGCGTCGCTTGATGTTGTTATCTCAAACATAAGAAGGAAGTAACCTCGATGGCGAACTTTTCCAGTGATAATGAAGTTCGGCTTCCGCGCCCCCGCGCCCCCGACCAAACTCTCATTGGTCGACGATCATCAACTCTAACTACTGAAGGGGGGGTGCATTATTATCGTGGGCATGGGGTTAGCCGCTCTTCGTTGTGACCGACCACCTTCAGGAACTCTCTAGTCAGCTTCTCTTCTCCGCAGAGGAAACACTGCATGTGCTTCTTCAGCTCCTCGCGCTCGACGCGCATTCCCCCCTTGCATCGGGCGTTCCCTGCCTTGCCCCATTGATGCTCCGCAAAAGCCTGCTCGTACTTTCGAACATGACAGATGTAACACTTTTGCCTCTTGGGACAGTCAACGCAACGCCGTGACGTTAGCTTCGAGCTGTGGTGCTGGGATGCGTGGGAAGCATCTGGGCCTGTCCGCAGACCGCGCTCCATGCAGTGCCACGGCGCCCCCACGCTCTTCTTGTCTTCCAGGCGCAGGCTACGCGCGCGCAGGCCATCATCCCGATTCCACTGCCTCAGCCCGTGCAGGTTCTTGTGCTTCGCTGACGCGCACAGCGCGCGCCTCCGCGAGGGCATAAAGTCCTTCTCGATGGCGTCCCAGCCCAGGGCGTCTCCACGCAGCGATTGCACAAATAACGCGGGGCCCTTCCGTTCACCCTGGGCGCGCGGCGAGCGGTCAAAGGCCCGGAATATCAACGTGCCCCCCCGCCGTCGCACGCGCGCCAGTGCCGCGTAGCTCGAGAGAGGCGAGGCACCCCCGCCGATGCTCAAGTCTACGGTCACACCCTGTTCGAACGTTTGCCCCTGCGCCGCGTGGGCTGTGGCGCCAAAAGCTGGCGCTAGAGGGGGCTGCCGTCTTCTGACCTTGAATCGTGGACGCGGGCGACCCTTGTCCACGAACCATTCCTTCTTCTGTGGTGTCACCGGGCGCAGGCCGGGAGTGCTTAATCCCTCGATCGTCCACGCGCGCGGCTTCCGACCGCCGTTCCCGCCCTCGCCTGCGTCAAACAACGCGAACATCACTTTCGGCGTCTTCTTCAAAATGGCCTCTCCGCCGCGCGTGACCTGGTTATCTTCGCCGACTCCGTCGCAAATCCAGGAGTGCACTCGGCCCGCGCGACCGCGCAGGAGGTTCTTGTCATCGCCTTGAGCAATGTGGTCGGCGAGAGCGACCGGCGCCCCTTCTGCGATCGGCAAGAAACCATGCAAGTCCCCGCTTTCCTTGTCATGCCGCTGGAGCCACGCCATCTTATACCCAGGAGTGTCCCGCGCAAGAACGTGCGCCATCGGCGTTCTGTGCGTCCGTGCGTATTGGGATGCCCGGAGCTTATTCGCCCCGCACTTCGCGTCGTCGTTGGGAAACACACCCGGCGCGACAAGGAACTTGTCCGACAACAGTCGTGGGTCGTCAGGGCCAAACAGCACGAGCCGGCGCCGCGCCCGCTCCTCTCTGCGCGCGTTGCACTCCTCCTGGCGGATCTCCGTCGGCGTCGCTTGACGTATTCGTCGTTGCCCCGATTCCATTCGCGCTGCATCCCTGCCGAACTCGCGCAGCTCCCGACGGGCCAGTCCCGCGACAAACTTCCCCGTTCAGTCAGCTGCCAGGCACGGTTGTATCCCTGCCATGCAAAAATGCGCGCGGGTCCGCTGAGAGCGCCCCTCTACGGAACTCTTCTTGCACTGCCTTCAGCCAGGCGTCGTCGCACCGTTCGCGCTCTTCCAACTCTGTCGCGCCCTGGGCCCCGCACTCGGCGCCGCCCCACAGGAGCGATTGCCAGTGCAGCACGGGTGGCAAGGACGTGTACTTGCGGGCCGCCGGGATGCGCTCCGTTGGGGCATCCGCAAGGAAGCCGCCGTCCGGGGGTGCCAACTGCCAGGAGTCACCACTCAGCAAGACGTTCAAACCGCCGAACGGGCGCGGCACGCCATCGTCGCCACGCTTCGTCGTCCCAACGTCGCGAATGACGCCGCGCAGTTTCGCGTCTACTTCTGCTAATAGTCTGGCACTCACCATGCTGATTTCATCGACGAAGAACCACCCGCTGAAACACGCGCTTCGCAGTCTCGCACTGCAATTTGACGTCCTCCCCCTTCTACTCGCCCCGCTTAATGGCCGGAATGCCCCGCGCATGGTGGATGGCATCGCCTCCCAGTAGCTGTGCCAAAACGGCCTGCAGAGCTGCGATTTGAAAGTGCACGCCGATTCTCCACTTCATCAACCCCTCGAACAATTCATGACGAATTATGCGCACGCAACACGTGCGACTTGCCCGCCCCAGGGCCCCCGAGCATACACCACTGCAGCGGTTCGCCCATGCCGGCCGGCATCTTCACTGGCCTCGCCGTCAATCTCCCGCGTCACTCGAAGAGCCACTATCTTCGCCATCTCGAACTGCTTTGCGTTCACCACGCGCCGCCCCGTCTGTGTCCACTTGAAACTCGAGCTGCTCCAGCCGCGGTGCAACGTCTGCCGATGTCGCTGCCTGGCCAGCCACGACCACTCCTCCGTCAGCCTGTGCCATTCTGTCTGCCATGGACTGCTCCTTGTTCCGAGACTTTCGCGCCTCCGCCAGCGCCCGCTCTATGTCACAGGGCTCTCCTGCTGACCGCGTGCCTCGCACTTCGCTCAGCGGCGTTTCGCCGTCGCGAGGCCCCCGCGCTTGCTGCGCGACAGCCGTGCCCCCTTTCGAATTTTCTCAGTGGGAAGTGCCGCCCGTTCCTTGTGTTCCGCCTGCGTCGCTATCCTCGCTGCTGCTGTCTCCATCGCCGTCCTTCCGCCTCTCCCCGCCCACTCGTGACTTGAGCGCCTCGTGCACGTGTTCAAAACCCGCGTCTCATTCCTCGTCGCTCACGTCTTCGTCGCTCCGTTCCCCGCATCGTCTGCATCCCCAGGCCGGACGCAGTGCGCGCTCAGGAAGTGGCCCACGTACCGCGCGGCTTCTGTCGCCTGCGCGCCGCCGTCCAACCGCGCTGCCACAGCAGCGCCCCATGTCGCCGCGTCGCCGCGCAAGTCCCCTGCGAACCTTACGCGCCCGCCCGCCGCGTCTGGCTTCAACGTCCACGGGTGGAAATACGTCACGGCAATGCGCGCCGACCGCTCCGCTTCTCCTGGACGTCCGCGAGGCGCAGGCGCTCCGAAGAAAGTGGGCGCCAGGGGCCTCTTGTTCCTTTTGAGGGCCCACGTGTGGCGGAGGTGGACGCGCCCTTGCGTCTCTGGATACGGCGCCCAATCGTCGCCACCGTCATCTTTCACCCTGTAGTCTTCTCTAGGTGCGAGGTCCTCCTCTTGCTTAGGGTTCCTGCAAATCTGGCGCGCCTTCGGCAATCTGCGCTGTCCGGCCGCCTGTGGCGTGGTCTGCGAGGCGCTCCGCCAAGTCCACGTACTCCCGACCGTAAAAGGCTACGGTGTGGCACGAGTTCAACGATTCTGCCGCAGTGACGTCTTCCCCCCTCGCGAACGATCTCAGGTTCGCACATTCTACTTGCCCGCGCACGATGCCCTTGCCGCGCGCGTCGCTCATGATTCGGTTCGCCACGCGCTTCCCTATCCGATTCGCGCTTTCGCCATGCAGCTGCCGACCGAGCATCTAGACCCCCTTGCAACGCTCCTTCACTTCGTGGACAGCCATGGGCCGCCGCTTGGTGCAATCGTCGCAAGCGTGCCCAGCCTGTGCGTTCCGCGCCATCTGCGCGAATTTGATGATCGCTCCGTCGTTAAGCTTCTTATCGCACGCTTTCCTGCACGTGCAACAGACCTCCGCGACGGGGGACCGATGCGGCAGTTGCGCGTCCGAATTGAACCGTTGCGCGGACAACATGCAAGGATGCGTGCCGTTCAGACTAGCGTGATTCATGGGGCCGTGTAAGCTTCCCGTCCGACTCCGACGCCCTGCCTTCGACGTGCCCAACGCAGCCGCCCGCCCCGGACACGGCGCGATGGCGCGGTCAATGATCTGCGACGTGCGCGGAAAGTCCGCCTTGCACAACGTCGGGTTGTCCTTTCGACGGCACGCCGGCAAGGGCGCTCGCTCCCCGGTCTCTCCGCTCTTCAAATGCACGCGGTGCTGCTTTCTCTCCTGCGGGTGTTGCGCGCCTTCGTCCAGGTGCGCCCTCCCCCGTGCCACAGCGTCTTGCGCAGCTTCCTCACAAGTTGCTTCTGGGCCGAGGGTGCGACTCTGAAACGAGGGCCTGCACGTGAGACCGCCCTCGGTTTTGAACTCCGGCCACGACCTCTCTGCTTCGTCCAAATTCCGATTGATCTCCTCCGCCGCCCTCTGCTTCGAATAGACCTGGCGACGCGCGCGCCTCTTGAATTCCAAATATTGCTCAACTATCTTCCCCCCTGGTCCGCTACCTAGTCGCAGGCGATTTCGAATGCCTCTTCCAGCGGTGTGTGCTGGCGCAGGCGCTGGATGAATACTTGGCAGTGCGCGTGGAGAGAGCCCGTCGATAGCTGCGCTTCGATGGAAACGCACTACGCCTCGACTCGCCCAAAAGCGTCCCTTCCAGGAACAACATTCCCCCCGAATAAGTTTTGGCAAGGCTCCACTTCTTCCGCGCGATTGCATCGCGGGCGGTGCGGGCGCGCCCGCGCGCCGAACACGTGGCGTAGCGTCGCGTCTACCGGGGCGCGGAAGCCGTCGGCGCTCGCCATGGGACTCGCGCTAGTACTCGTCGCCGCTAGCTCCACGATGGCACCCCTGCCTGCGCCGTCTCGATGCGCATGGCCATGCGCGCTTCGTCGACTTCGGGGCCTGCGCCCGCCGCGAGCGAGCTTCGTCACCTGCTGACTCGTGCGCGGGGTCGCGCCGTCGAGCGCGCGACAGGCGTACCGCGGGCAGGCTGTGGGCTGCGTCGGGGGAAAACGTCGCGAAGATGGGGGCGCCGTGCCGGACTCGCAGGGCGTTCGTCTCAAATGGCATCACCCGACGCGCTTCCCGTGTAACTGGGGGGCGCCGCGAAGCGTGCTCCATGTGCGTCGCGAGCTCGTGCGCGGCTTTCCCCGAGCCTGGCACGTAGCGCACTTTCGTCGTGTCGCCCTGGACTTTCTGCTTCCTATGGTCCACATCCACGTACTTCCCGTCCAGCGCGCGGTAAATCTACTTCGCTCCTGCGCCGATCTCCTCAGGGGTTAGCTGCTCCACCGCGCCTGTGCAGCTGACCGACGCGTGCGTGAACCACGTCTTGCTGAAGTTCACAGCCGATCGGAAAACGAGGTTCCACGCCGCGAACCCGAAGCGCCAGTCGCGGCATAAATGGCTCTCTGCGCGACGGCTCATGATCCGCGCCCACGGCGGAAGCTCCACCCGCGGAGCCCCGCTCCCTCGTCGATGTCGCGGACGTTGCGTAAACTCTGGGCAATCCGGCCCCCCCGCGCAATACTCTAACAGAAACGCGAACGCCACGCCGGAATACAAGGGCTCGAATTGGTCCAACACCGTGTTTCCCGCGCGCGCGCGGAGGCGATCCACGCGGTTGCCCTCGCGCCTCGTCTGCAACAACATGTCGCGCTCCACTGCTCCCCGTGCCGGCTCATCCAACCCCGGCGCCGTTCCGACGGGCCTGCGGGGGCGTTTCCTTGCCTGTCCTGGCCCCCCCTCGCCGATCGCCGCCCCCCCCCCCCCCGCTGGACGTCGACGTTTCGTCGGCCCCGTCGCGCGCGCAACTTTCATCCAGACGCTGCGCGAACGCCCGCGCGGCCTCGAAACGTTGCGCATTGATGTCTCCCTCGTCGAAGCTGCGCGTCTCGCGCACCACGGCGTTCGCCTTCGTACTCTCCATTATCTCTGCAGCCTCCTCTAATCCATCCGGCCTCGGCACGGGCGCGGCTGTTTTCTGCATTTGGATATTGTCCAGCGCGTCGTCCAGGGGCACCAGTCGCATGACTTCTGGAGGCGCGCCTTCTTCCGGAAACTCCATGGCCTTCTTCCGAACCTCCGACATATTCACGTTGCGGTACGCGCGGCGCCCGCGAGATTCCGCCCCCTCGATCAGATCCGCGACCACCTTCCGGCGAACGAGAGCCCGGTGTACAAACGATGACATGCTTGCAGCCGTGTCGTCGTCCCCCTTGACTTCAATATCACCGACGCGATGCCTGCCAGTTCGGCGCCCGTGCGCGGAAGTGGCGGTGCATTGCTCGCGGCGCCAGCCTCGTCCGCCGCAGCCAATTGCGCAAGCATGTCCGTCCACGGCATTGGGGACGATGTCGCATTTCCGCGCGCAGCCATGCGAACCTCGTTGCCCCC